TGCATGAAAAAATCTCTTCCACTCATTATTTTAATGTTTTTGTGTTATTGGGAAGACTAGCAATTAAAGTTARTCTCCATCTAATCTTAGGATCTGAATAGAAATATAATCTTACAAATCTTAAAAGTTAGGACACTGCACTTAGCTTAAAGAACTCAACAGACATTTATTGGGGATTTTGATACCACATTAAGTTAATCTAGTGTAGAGGCAGATATATTTTAAAAAAGAACTCTTGACTCGAGCACTGCAGCTATGACAAGCAGGGTAAGCAATGCTCAAATCTGGGAGGGAATAGATAGATACTAAAGAAGAGTAATGTTGGGCTAAGGAACAGAGTTAGAAAGATGAATGGAGAAAGCCACTGCAATACCCCAGTAAGAGTTAATAAAACTTTAATGAAAGCAGGGGAGAAATGTAATCAGAGCTAATAAGGACATAGAAGTAAATGGAGGAGACCAATACTTTAATAGTATCAAGTTGATTCAGATTTCAGTGTGTGCTTCCCAGTCAGAGAACTAAAGAAGGAAGGAATAGAAATCTATTGTTGTTTTTTAAGGAATATAATACATTCAGTTTCTGTGTGTTAAGGTTTATCACCTTTTAAAGAGCTGGATTGAAGCTGCTCTTCTATAGAAGACACAGAAAGGTATCAAAATATAGGGGACAGTCTACAACACAGAAGGGCTCCAGTCTCCTAGGAAGAACACAGAAAAAAAAAAAAAAAAACGCAGTGGATAAAGATAATACAGGGGGCCATGGACCAGAAGCAACACTCCAGAGGAAATAAAAGAACAGATAGAAGAGGAGATATGGAAAGAACCATTCAGAAAGGATGAAAATCAGGCAAGAAAAAAGGTATCACACTTCCCAAAGCGAATAAAGAAATGCCAGTGAGTGAAAATGGTCAGCAATATCACATGTTGCAAAATGATTAAAATATCAAAAAGTTGTTTACAGTTAAAGGAATAAATGCCCCAAACAAAACAGCTAGAAAAATTACAAGGTATTGATAGAAACCACCAGAGTAAACCACTTTTTTTGTAGCAGACAGGATTTGGAAGAAACATGATGATATTATTAGCTTCCCAAAACAATATGTATCCCAGGGGTGGTTCAGGCCTGAGAAATTCAAGAAATATTGCTTACAAAAGGTAACCGCATCAGAGTAATAGATTCACAGAACACAAGGCAGATAGCCAACAAAGGAAAAGTCACCAGTGACATGGGAACTACAGGTGAGATTAGGAGGAGGCAGGCCAGAGGWGCAAAGAAACAGCATATGTAATCTTCCACACCTATGGCAGACAGAATGGCCCACACAGAGAGGTATACTGCCCTAATCCCTGGACCCTGTATATATGAATTACATTATATGGACTGTGCAAATGTAAATAACATAATGAATCTTACAATAAATAAATTATCTGGGTTTATCTGGAAAACATAAAGGGGGCCAATTAAAGCAGAAAACTTTCTCTAACAGAGGAAGAAGATTTGCACATCAAAACAAGTAGTCAGAAATTGTAAGCATAAGACAGATTCAATGTATCTGAGATACAGGGGATCTCTAGAAACTAAAAGCAGTCCCCAACTGTTAGTCATCAAGGAAACAGGAACATCAGTCCTACAACTGCAAGGAATTGAATCCTGCCAACAACAACAATAAACCTGGAAGATCCTTCACAAAGTCTGTACTGGGAGCCTCGCCAGCTGGCACTGGTTTCAGCTTCAAGAAACCCACAAAAACAATGAGGTCAAGCTGGATTTCTAATCTACACAACTATTGTCCATTTATGTTGTTTTGAACCCCTAAATCCATGGCAATTTGCGCCAGTAGCAATAAGAAATTAACATAACATCCCAGGATACCAATGGTGCTTATAAATGCCCTAGAGCAGGAAGTACCTGTCTCTCCTCATCTCCAGTCTTATCCTGGAGGAGACAGATTCAGTCTAGAAAGTAGGGCAGAAAGGCAAGGATAGGAAGCAGAAGCCAACCACACCACAACAGGAGAGCCTTCTGCAGGCTCCAAGCAGAGCAAGCTGGCAAAAGAAAAAAAGCAACTGTTTTCTTGGGATGAAAACCAAGTTATTTAACCTAAGCCATGGTTTTTACCACCTACAGCAATAAAGCTGTAGGACCTGCCTGGAATTTTATTCAGRGTCAGGGAAAAATAAGTTGAGAGAGCAAGATCTGGAGGCAAAAGCTGGAATAAACAAGTCACTTTCAGCTTCAAAACCCAGCTATGTGTATCTACAAGGAGTATAAAAGGAACCACTGGAAGAAACTCCAGAAATCAACTATACAGACAGTGATGAACACAACTATTTCACATTATATCTAAGATCCACAAAGGAACCAAGATGGGCTTTTGGGTAAAACTCCAACTTTCCCCAAAGACAAATGGGGAAAGAGTCCTTAAAAAGTAGAACCAAAAGCTCATCACTACTTTAGGAAAGCATACAAAAACTAGGCTATTATAGAGACGCAGTAAACCCATATCCTAAGTAAAAGCTAAATGAGTACAAATGTTCAAGTCTTATGCTGTACTTCACATTGATTAAGTTATTAAGTCAACACAGTCTTCCAAAAGGACTGTCTTCAGGAGAAAAAAGAAGCATTCTCTAAAACCAAGTTTTTACTTCWTATAAAAATTAAACTTTTGATAAATTGATAAGTAATAATATATATTTTTAATTGCATACCACCAAAACAAAGAACTATATACAATTTTTAGCATGAAATTTCCAAAGGTGAAAGTGCCAAAAAGTTAACATGGCCAATTATTAAATGTAACTTTCTCAAACAGTTTTTATTAATGGAGATATGTGTAAGAAAAAAAAAAATCCAGTTGAATCATTCTTCACATAGAAACAGTTTTAAGTTTGTAAAAATATTTTTTTAAATGTGGCACACTGAAAAGTCTCATTAATATCACTRATTGACATTTAGAGGAGCAAAAGATCCTTCTCAACTTCTTTAGTTTTCAGCTTTGGAATCAACAGCACCTTTTCCCTTCAGCATATTGTGATTTACTCAAAGAATCAGTAAGGAAAGTAAAGAATCTGTTCCTTATTTTTGAACAATAACTTAGTGAGGTAGACTCATTCCTTAGCATACTGAATAGTCCTACCAAAGCAACAGTTTCACTTTATTTCTGCTGAGCAAAGTAAAACCTTGACTGCAGAAGATCTGCCTCAGGCAGACCTGTTCTAGGTTTAACAAGGGGTCTAGCCCACTTATCAAAGAAGTATTCTGTCAATACTTCAAAAATTCATATTTCCATCTGCCCCATAGTCTTACTAAAATTGACAAATCATCTTCCTTTCCTGGGTAACAGCAACATCAACAACAAAAATAACAAACTATATTCAATACTTCCTGGGTAGTTTTCCTTTTAACTGTGTGTGGCAATAAAATGTGGTTTCCATGAATCTTTAACATCAACAGGCTCCTTCCTCTGCTTATTCATATGTMACCTACTACTATGACCAAAAAACGTAAGGTAGTCACAAGTGAGCCATAAAACTACCATTCCAAAATTTCAAGGGTTATGAAAATAAGTGATTCCTTTTACAGCGCATGGAAAAGAGGAAGAAAAGGGCACTTTACCATCCTAAGTCACTAACAGTACACTAAAGAGAGCTGGTTTCATACAAACCTTAGCAATAGTGGAAAAGGCTACCAAAAGGAGAAAAGGTTATTTTTTCTGGTTCTTGGTTGAAAATATATCAACTCATAGTGTGAAAAGAGTGGAGAAGGAGTTACACATATGTGATTAACAAACCAAAACTAGCATTTCAACAGACCAGGCATAGTCTAGGGTTCATGCAAAAATACTACTATGCTCAGTGATAAATAGTTAGGAATCACTGACACTATGAAAAACCCTTTGAAGGCACAAACTAGGCATGGATTCTTTCTGGTGTCTTCTGAACCTCCATGTGTAATACTCGACACAAATCTTGTGATGAATAAAAAATAAGGCAGCATAACAGCAAATACGTCACTGATTTCAGCTGATCAGTTAGACCAGCAGTTCACTCTCGCCGTGGAAATGGAGTTCCTCTTGGTGAAATGGGCTAGCTATAGAATAAAAGCTAAGAAAGGCAGGGTGCAAAAGCACCACAGGCCACAGAAAGTAATTTCAAAAACGGGGTGGTGTGGGCTAGATGAGCTATCAATTTCTCTAAAAATTGATAAGGCAGTCAAAAACAATACACAGAAGAACAGACATAACCAGAGTAAGTCATGATTCAGAAAAAAGAGACAATTCCTCAGGATGACACACAAAATCCTCTCCTAATCTGACTCAAGTTATCACTCCAATCTAATTTATCTGACCTCTGTTTTTGACCTAGCTCTACACCTGAGCTCACTGTCATTTCATTATTCTCAAAGATTTCSCCCCCTCTGCCTACACAAATCCTATCCTGAGTTGAGACCTGGCTTCCTTCACCATTTCTACTAAATTTTCCTAAACTATTTAATACTCTATCTATTGTGGTTTTCACAGAAAGTAATTAGATATATCAAAAACTAATGTAGTTCTTCCTACAATGAACTTATAAAGAACTTAATTATTAAATACTACTTTCTGACATTTCTTACTCATTTTTCAAATGTTTATTGGGAATCCTAGAAGATAAGCAACTTGGAAGTAGAAACTATATATGTAAATAAATTTATTTAGATTAAATTAGCATTTATTTATAGCAAATGACTTCAGTATACATAACATGTGGGTTATTAGTCAAATTAGTTTGGAAATACCACAGGTTGACTCAAAGAATCACCTGGCCTCAAATGACACCATGTGTCTCTAGCAGAAAAGGCACACACAAAAAAGCATGGTCCAAAAGCCAACTATGGTTGAAGTGCTATCTTCAGAAACATCTGCAATCACCCTATAAAACCTAACTTGCAAATATGTTTGGAGTTCTTTCACAGGAACATAACAGACTTCACATCATTTTACAGAGAATCAAAATTCTTACCATCATCTCTTCAAAAAGCTGTAGGACTTCATTCTCTGACAGTGGCTTTCGGATGCTTCCCATGATCTCTGAAGGTGCTGATGAGCAGTCATGGCCTGCAAACACAGTCTTCACGTTGGGAAGAGGAGTCCTCTCTTTCTTGCTCCCTGGAATTCTTATGCTGGCAAATTTGTCCAGCTACATAGAAAGATAAAAGAGCACACATATAAGCATTCCCTCTCCCAACATTTATCTAATTCCAAAAGTGGAAAAAACAGAGGAAATCATATTGTCACTGTGATTTCAAGAGGCATTTGGAAACAGAATCTTTAATAATAAAAAGTGGTGAAAATTTTTCAGAAACCCTCCTATCTAAAAGTAGATGAGAAATCRAACAACCTCAAAAATCATTCCTTCTAATCTTAAAATCATTCAATTACAGATTCTAGTAACAAGTGACCTTTGCTTTATAGAGCAGAAAAACCAAGCAGTTTTACAAAGGCAATTTCTCTAATATAGTGGTGACACCAAATTAGTACTCAGTGTCCTACTCCCAGCCCATCACCAGGCAAGTTCTGGAATAGCATAAACAGGTTGAGAAGCAGGGTGTGACAGGACATGATTAGGAATTATACTGAATTCTACTTATGTCTTTATAGCTTGTTAGCCTGATAACACATTTCTCCTTGTTCAGGCTGGTTTCTACAACATCTACAGAGAAGGTATATTCAAGCCTTAGGAAATAAAGCTAGATTTTTGTTGTAAAGAGAATTATCCTACAACTAGATCAAATAGTTCACTGATATTTAAAAATACATAGATACTAGTTTACAAAGCTAATTGTTCATTCAAAAGTGATTGGATTTCACAAGTTCTATTCTACACAAAGAACTCAAACCTCCTATTTCAAGCTTCATAAAATGTCAATAATGAAAAGGAAATAACATTTTAAGTATCAAATATAGAAGTACATTTAAAAACATGATCAATGAGTCTGTGAAATGTTCATCATGGCTACATATATTAAATTGTTGTTTTTTTAATTAGTTGTTCAAAACATTACATAGCTCTTGACATATCATATTTCATACAATTGATTCAAGTGGGTTATGCACTCCATTTTTCCCCCATATACAGATTGCAGAATCACATTGGTTACACATCCAYGTTTTTACATACTAGTGTCTAGTAACAAATACAAGACATAGAACTGTACCACTCATTATAATGGGCTGTAGTTATAGATAGTTATTGAATTAAAGGAATATTAAAAATTCAGTTCCTTAGTTGCATATGTAGCTAGTGGCTATCACATTGGAGTTCTATTGAACACCTAGTATAACCAGTAAAGAAATCTGACACCTAAAAATTTCTATTTAAAAGATACTATGTCAGAGCATTGACTAATCATTAAAGGAGTGGAATAGAAAACAAGACAACTCTACATTAACCCTAAAAGCACACATTGGAGTTGTAAAGTAGAAAGATATACGCCATGGTTTCGAAAGCTAGCAGCACAGTTGTAAAGTCAAAGAAGAGATTGCCAGATTCTCAATAACGCTCAGATGATAATACCTTGTAACACACAACTCAGGGATGAGCTGAATTAAAACTATAGAAGCAATAAAGGCCAGCCCTATATCAACTAGAGAGCCAATTGACACAGCCTCCCCACAATTCACCCCCAGCTGCCACACTCTACCAGCCTAAAAGAAGGGCATAACTTTTAGAGGTCAGAGAGAAWATTACTTGCTTCAGTTTCTCCTAGTACTTAAATAAAATATCTACCATATAAATATTGCTAAACACACAAAGGAGCATGAGAATGTGAACCATGCTCAAAAAAGAGAGACCTATCATTCTGATGTTTTTGTATTCGATTTGCCAGAATTTTATTGAGAATTTTTGCATCTTTGTTCATTAGAGATATTGATCTGAAGTTTTCTTTGATGTGTCTTTGCCTGGATTTAGAATCAGGGTGATATTGTCCTCATGAGTTTGGAAGTGCTGCCTCTTTTTCCATTTCATGAAATAATTTGAAGAGTATAGGTATTAGGTCTTCTTTATAGGGCTTGTAGAATTCAGCTGTGTATTTATCCAGTCCTGGGATTTTTTGGTTATTAGGCTTCTTGATGGTATCTTCTATTTAATTGCTTGAAATTAATCTGTTTAAATTGTGTATATCATCCTGATTCAACCTAGACAAATCATATGACTCTAGAAATTTGTTGATGCCTTCAATATTCAGGATTCGGTGGGGTTTGTTCCAGGAAGGCAAGGTTGGATCAAMATAAGGAAATAAATAAATGTAATTCATCACATCAATAGACTTAAACATAAGAATCATAAGATCATCTCAATAGATTCAGAAAAAGCATTTGACAAAATACAGCACACATTCATGTTCAAAATATTAGAAAAACTAGGGATAACAAGAACATATCTCAATATCATAAAAGTTATTCATGCTAAGCCCCAGGCCAACATAATTCTAAATGGAAAAAAAAATTGAAAGAATTCACTCTCTTTCACCACTTCTGTTTAACATAGTTCTTGAAACACTGGACAGAGCAATTACACAGACGAAAGAAATCACAGGGATATGCATAGCAAAAGAAGAACTCAAATTAGCACTATTTGCAGACGATATGATTTATTCCTAAAAAAAAAAGAAGGAAATTCCACTAGAAAACTCCAGTAAATGAATTCAGCAAAGTAGCGAGATACAAAATCAAATGCCCATAAATCAAAGGCATTTCTATATATCAGTGACAAATCTTCTGAAAGGTAAATAAGGAAAACTACCCCATTTAAAATAGCACCAAAAAACAAATAAAATACTTGGGAATCAACTTAACAAAACAGGTGAAAAGACCTCTACAATGAAAACTACCAAATGCTAAAGAAAGAAATTAAAGTAGACCTTAGAAGATGGAAAGCTCTGCCTTGTTCATGGATACAAGAATTAATATTGTCAAAATCACCATACTATCAAAAGGATTATACAGATTTAATTCAATTACAATCAAAATCCCAATGAAATTCCTCATAGAAATAGAAAAAGCAGTCAYGAATTTCATCTGGGAATAGCTAAAACAATCCTCAGCAAGAAGAGTGAAGCAGGTGGCACCAGTATACCAGACCTCAAACTGTAATACAGAGCAATAGTAACAAAAACAGCATTGTATTGGCACCAAAATAGACCTGTAGACCAGTGGTACAGAATACAGGACACACAGACTAACCCACATAATTACAGTTATCTTATATTAGACAAAGGTGCCAAAAACATACATTGGAAAAAAGATAGCATTTTCAACAAATGATGCTGGGAAAACGGGAAATCCATMTGCAACAAAATGAAATAAAACCCCTATCTCTCACCATGCACAAAATTCAACTCAAAAGTRGATCAAGGACCCAGGAATTAAACCAGAGACACTGCGTCTATTAGAAGAAAAAGTAGGCCCAAATCTCTATCATGTCAGATTAGACCCCAAGTTCCTTAATAAGGCTCCTATAGCACAAGAATTAATATCAAGAATCAATAAATAGGATGAATTCAAACTAAAAAGCTTCTTCTCAGCAAAAGTAAAAGCAAAATCAGTGAGGTAAATAGATATCCTACTAATTGGGAACAAATTCTTACCACATGCACAGCAAATAGAGCACTATCTCTAGAATACATAAAGAACTCAAAAATCTCAACATCAAGAAAACAAATAACCCAATCAATAAATGGGCCAAGGAACTCAACAGATACTTCTCTGAAGAAGATATACAATCAATCAACAAATAAATGAAAAAATGTTCAACATCTCTAGTAATTAGAGAAATGCAAATCAAAACTACTCTTAAGATTTCATCTCACTCCAGYCAGAATGGAAGCTATTAAGAAAATAAACAACAATAAGTGTTGGAGAAGATGTGGGGATAAAGGCACACTCATACATTGCTGGTGGAAGTGCAAATTGGTGAAACCAAAATGGAAAGCAGTATGGAGATTCCTTGGAAAACTGGGGGTGAAACCACCATTTGACACAGCTATCCCACTCCTCCTCAGTCTATACCCAAAGGACTTAAAAACAGGGACACAGCCACATCAGTGTTTAGAGCAGCAAAATTCACAAGAGGTAAACTGTGGAACCAACCTAGATGCCCTTCGGTAGATGAATGGATAAAGAAAATGTAGTATATATATACAATGGAATATTACTCAGCAATAAAAGAGAATAAAATCATGGCATTTGCAAGTAAAAAGATGGAGTTCAAGAATATAATGCAAAGTGAAGTTAGCCAATCCCAAAAACCAAATGCCAAATGTTTTCTCTGATATAAGGAGACTGACTCATAGTGGGGCTAGGAGGGAGATCATGAAAAGAGTAGATGAACTCTAGATAGGGCAAAGGGGTGAGAGGGAAAAGTAGGGGGCATAGAGGTACAAAAGATGGTGAAATGAGATGGACATCATTACCCTAAGTACATGTATGAAGAGATGAATGGTAAGAATATACTTTCTATACAACCAGAGATATGTAAAGTTGTGCTCTATTTGTGTAATATGAATTGTAATGAATTCTGTCGTATATAACAAATTAGAATAAAAATAAATTTTAAAAAAAAGATAGACCTAGAGGGGGCCTAGATATTGGAATTACCAGACAGGCAGTTTAAAACTAGAAAACAAAAAGACATAATTTAAGAAGTGGATTAGATACCATGCAAGAGATGAGGAGTCCATTTCATCAGTAAAGTCACAGAAACTACTTTTTAAAAAATGCATTAGAAATGAATAGTATACCAGGAGTGAAGATTTCATTGAATGGTCGGTCTGCACAGTAACCTGCATATAGCTGAGAAAAGAATTCATGAACTAAACACATATCAATAGAAAGTACTCAAACTAAAACACAAAGAAGAAAAACACAGGGAAGCAGGGAATCAAAGACTAACCAAGATCTGAGRTACTATATAGAATGTCATAACACAAGTGTACTTAGGATCCAGAAGCAGAAAGAGAATGGTATGCAAGAAACATCTCAGGAAACACATGGAGATACAAAGACTAAAATACATACATACAGATCTAAAAAACATACAGACATACAGATACAAGCAGCTCAGGAAAATGCAATAAGAAAATAAATATAAACACTTAAGCATCCCACAAACTGCTGGAAATTAAAAATAAAAGGCAA